GAGAGCTTTTCCCATAAGATCAGAACAAAATGAAAATATCCATTCTTACCACTTCTATTCAACATAGTACTGGATGTCCTAGCCACAGCAATTAAACATAAAAAAATAAAAGACATCCAGATTGCTAAGGAAGAATTAAAATTTTCACTATTTGCAGATGACATGATACTATATAGAAAAAAATGTAAAGACTCCACCAAAATATAGTAGAACTGATAGATGAATTCAGTAAAGTCTCAGGACATAAAATCAATGTACAAAAAAAAATCTGTTGCATTCCTATACACTAAAAATGAAGCAGCAGAAAGAGAAATTAAGAAAACAATCCCCTTTACAACTACACCAAAAACAAGAAAATATCTAGGAAATAAACTTAACCAAAGAGGTGAAAAACCTGCACTCTGAAAACTATAAAACACTGATGAAATTCAAGATGACACACAGAAATGAAAAGACATTCCATGTCCACGGGTTAGAAGAAAGGATATTAAAATTCTACACATTTAATCTACACATTTAATGCAATGCCTATCAAAATGCCAACAGCTTGAAACCAGGCAACGTGACGCCCCCAGTTTTTTTTTTTTTTTTAAACATTTCCTTAGCAATTCGGTGTCTCTTCTTGGTCCACACATAATTTAGGATTGTTTGCTCCAGCTCTTTGAAAAATGCGAGTGGAATTTTGATCGGAATGGCATTGAAAGTATAGATTGCTCTAGGTAATATAGACATTTTAACAATGTTTATTCTTCCAATCCATGAGCATGGAATAGTCTTCCATCTTTTTGTGTCTTCTTCAATTTCTTTCATGAGTGTTCTATAGTTCTTTGAGTACAGATCCTTTACCTCTTTGGTTAGTTTTATTCCCAAGGGTGCTATAGTAAATGGAATCGATTCTCTAATTTCCCTTTCCGTATTTTCATTGTTAGTGTATAAGAAAGCCACTGATTTCTGTACATTGACTTTGTATCCTGCCACGTTACTGAATTGCTGTATGAGTTCTAGTAGTTTGGGGGTGGTGTCTTTTGGGTTTTCCATATAAAGTAACATGTCATCTGTGAAGAGAAAGAGTTTGACTTCTTCACTGCCAATTTGAATACATTTTATTTCTCTTTGTTGTCTGATTGCTGTTGCTAGGACTTCTAATACTATGTTGAACAAGAGTGGTGAGAGTGGGCATCCTTGTTGTGTTACTGATCTCAAAGGGAAGGCTGTCAGCTTTTCCCCATACAGGATAAGATTAGCTGTGGGTTTTTCATAGATAGATTTTATGAAGTTGAGGAATGTTCCCTCTATCCCTATACTTTGAAGCGTTTTAATCAGAAACAGATGTTGTATCTTGTCAAATGCTTTTTCTGCATCAATTGAGAAGACCATGTGGTTCTTCTCTCTTCTCTTATTGATTTGTTCTGTCACATTGATTGATTTGCAAATGTTGAACCACCCTTGTATCCCATGGATAAATCCCACCTGGTCATGGTAGATAATCTTTTTCATGTACTGTTGGATCCTATTAGCTAGGATCTTGTTGAAAAACTTAGCACCCATATTCATCAGGGATTTTGGTCTGAAATTCTCCTTTTTGGTGGGGTCTTTGCCTGGTTTGGGGATCAAGGTAATGCTGGTTTCATAATAAAAGTCTGGAAGTTTTCCTTCTTCTTCAATTTTTTGAAACAGCTTCCGAAGAATAGGTATTATTTCTTCTTTGAAAAGTTTAGTAGAATTCCCCAGGGAATTCGTCAGGTCCTGGGCTCTTGTTTTTTGGGAGGTTTTTGACCACTGCTTCAATCTCATTACTAGGTATTGGTCTATTCAGGTTGTCAATTTCTTCCTGATTCAGTTTTGGAAGCTTATAGGTTTCTAGGAATGCATCCATTTCATCTAGGTTGCTTAACTTATTGGCATATAACTGTTGATAATAATTTCTGATTATTGTTTCTATTTCCTTGGTGTTAGTCATGATCTCTCCCTTTTCATTCACAATTTTATTAATTTGGGTCCTCTCTCTTTTCTTTTGGATTAGTTTGGCCAATGGTTTATTGATCTTATTGATTCTTTCAAAAAAACAGCTTCTAGTTTTGTTGATGCGTTCTACTGTATCCCTAGTTTGTATCTCACTGATCTCTACTCTGATCTTGATTATTTCCCTTCTTTTGTGTGGGGTTGGCTTAATTTGTTGTTGATTCTCCAGTTCTTTAAGGTGTAAAGACAGCTGGTGTAATCTGGATTTTTCAGGTTTTTTGAGGGTGGCTTGGATGGCTATGTATTTCCCCCTTCGGACCGCTTTTGCTGTATCCCATAGGTTTTGGACTGAAGTTACTACAAAGCTGTGATCACCAGGACAGCATGGTACTGACACAAAAACATATACATAGACCAGTGGAACAGAGTAGAGAGCCCAAATATGGACCCTCAACTCTATCGTCAAATAATCTTCAACAAAGCAGGAAAAAATATCCAGTGGAAAAAAGACAGTCTCTTCAATAAATGGTGATATGAAAATTGGACAGCTATGTGTAGAATGAAACTCGACCATTCTCTTACACCATACACAAAGATAAACTAGAAATGGATAAAAGACCTCAACGTGAGGCAGAAATCCATCAGAATCCTAAAGGACAACATAGGCCGTAACCTATTCAACATCGGCCACAGCAACTTCTTTCAAGATATGTCTCCAAAGGCAAAGGAAACAAAAGCAAAAATGAACTTTTGGGACTTCATCAAGATCAAAGCTTCTGCAGAGCAAAGGAATCAGTCAACAAAACAAAGAGGCAACCCATGGAATGGGAGAAGATATTCGCAAATGACACTATAGACAAAGGGCTGATATCCAAGATCTATAAAGAACTCCTCAAACTCAACACACACAAAACAAATAATCATGTCAAAAAATGGGCAGAAGACATGAACAGCCACTTCTCCAAAGAAGACATACAAATGGCCAACAGACACATGAAAAAATCTTCATCACACTAGCCATCAGGGAGATTCAAATCAAAACCACCTTATACCAGTTAGAATGGCCAAAATGAACAAGACAGTAAACAACATGTGCTGGAGACGATGTGGAGAAAGGGGAACCCTCTTACACTGTTGGTGGGAATGCAAACTGGTACAGCCACTTTGGAAAACAGTGTGGAGATTCCTTAAGAAATTAAAAATAGAGCTACCCTATGACCCTGCAATTGCACTACTGGGTATTTACCCCAAAGATACAGATGTAGTGAAAAGAAGGGCCATATGTACCCAAAGGTTCCAAGCATCAATGGCCACAATCACCAAACTGTGGAAAGAGCCAAGATGCCCTTCAACAGATGAATGGATAAAGAAGATGTGGTCCATATATACAATGGAATATTATTAATCCATCAAAAGAATAAAATCTTGCAATTTGCAACAACATTAATAGAGCTAGAGTGTATAATACCAAGCAAAACAAGTCAAAGACAAATGCCATATGATTTCACTCATGTATGGAATTTAAGAAACAAAACAAGCAAAGGAAAAAAGAGAGAGAAAGGAAAACAAACCAAGAATCTGATTCTTAACTATAGGGGAAAAAACTGAAGGTTAGGGGTGCCTGGGTGGCTCAGTGGGTTAAGCTTCTGCCTTTAACTCAGGTCATGATCTCAGGGTCCTGGGATCGAGCACCACATTGGGATCTCTGCTCAGCATGGAGCCTGCTTCCCCCGCCCCCCGCCTGCCTCTCTGCTTACTTGTTATCTTTCTCTGTCAAATAAATAAATAGAATCTTAAAAAAAAAAAAAACTTAAGGTTACCAGAGGGCAGGTAGATGGGGGATGGGTGAAATAGGTGATGGGGATTAAAGACTACACTTAACATGATTAAAAAACAAAAAGTCTAGGGGTGCCTGGGTGGCTCAGTGGCTTGGGCCTCTGCCTTCGGCCCGGGTCATGGTCTCAGGGTCCTGGGATCGAGCCCCACATCGGGCTCTTTGCTCAGCGGGGAGCCTGCTTCCCCTTCTCTCTCTGCCTGCCTCCCTGCCTACTTGTGATCTCTCTCTCTCTCTCTCAAATAAAAAAAAAAAGTCTAGGAGTAAAAAAGATCAGGCAATAATACCAGAGATTTAACTTAGACATTAGGAATAACTTCCCAATAATGACAGCTAAGAAACAAGAGGACTAGATAGTCAAGAAGGATTGCAGCATCATGTTCTTCAGAGGACTATAGATATCTTTTTAAAAACAGTTTGATATGTTTCAGATATGGTCCTTCATGAACCAGGAAATGAAAATGAACTTCCTCCCTGATCCCCGTTTGAAGCATTTGGTCCTTTTTCAGACAGCTGGCCATAAAGTTGGAAATAAAAACAATTCCTCTTAAAATGATAGGTCATTATACTTTAAACTGATCAGTGCTAAAACCATGAAAGGAATAACTGATAGGTATTCTCTTAATTACATATATTTTAAATGTAATTATTGTAAACCTTTACATATGAGGAGCACTTTAGTTTTGTCAAAACCATATTCAGGGTGACTCAGTTGGCTGGGTATCCAACTTTTGATTTCAGCTCAGGTTATGATCTCAGGGTCATGGTATTAAGCTCTCTGCCCAGCTCTGTGCTTAGTGGAGTCTGCTTCTCTCCCTCTTCCTCTGCCCCTCCCCATACACCATCTCTCTCTTTCTCACTCTCTCGCTCTCTCTCAAATAAATAAATCTTTAAACATATTCAACCTAAGATTTTACTTAATTTTAATATTCCTCTGAGGCAAGCATGAAGAATTGTCCTGATTTTCCTATTGAAGACCCAAGCTCTGATAAACTATGATGCTCCATTTCCTAAGACCCAGCAAAGGCTATTCCCTGTGGGCCACATGATCATCAGAGATTTGCAAGTTCCAAAGCTAGAGATGCCCATTCTTGGTGGAATGTGATAATAAATCCTTAAGGACAGTGGAGGCCAGGGAAGAGAGGGTGGGGAGGATGGGATCTTTCTTCATCATATATTCACAACCTTCTCTTATTTGGTACAGAAGTGTTGGGCCTCCAGATTCTGGGATGGCCCTAAATTTGAGAAGCACTGGACAACAGCCATCGAGAGTCCACCCGCACAACTTAAGAAGATAGTTCTCTGATCAATCAGCTTGCTACCCTGGACCCTAGCCCTACAATCAAGAAAGGAAGGCCTCTTCTGCTTCTGCCAGGTATTTTGCCAACATGGCCTTTCCCATTAGCTCCAATCTGCCCATTCTTCTACAGTTAGGAAACCAGGCCTCATGAGTCCTCACTCTAACATGGCAGAGCAGCACTAAACCAAGCAAGTGTGCTCTAATACATGGGACAAGGAGTAAGAGAGTGGAAGGCTGAGGGCAGGATCAAGCCACAGTTTCTTGTTCTCTTTGATCAATACAAAGAGTCAGAATTTATCAGGTGTGGATGGTTCCTATATAGGGAAAAACATGGAGAGACAAGTATAGGATAAAGAGATGGAAATGTAGGAAATTTTAAAAACATACTAAGAAATGTCAGGCCCATTATTCCCTTCTAGAAAGTGCTCTGGACACTTTAATTACTTTGGGGGCTTAATTCAGACTCAAGAGTTAAACACAGTAGGTCCATAATAGACTCCATTGTCAAGATTTTCATTAATAAAGTACTTGAGTGTGCTGCCATTGAGGGCTCAAAGGCACTGCTTGAGTGACATTTGAATATGACAAAGTTCCCTACTCTCTAGTTTCATCTGACACCTAATATTATATAAAGAAGACTGTCTCAGATGCTCACCTGTGGCATATACTAAGCTAGCCACACTCTCTATTTGGCCTGACCTAGGACTTACTGGGAATTCCTTTCAAGACAGAGTCTGAGTGATGGGTGATGAAGAAAAGCAGGCTCATCTGCATGTGTCTAAGTACAGTAACTGTGTACTTTCTTGAACAGCCCCCTTTCAAATACTTTATCCCATATTTATTCCCCATATATTAGCAAAATTCACAAAATGTTCCAATATTTTGGCAAAAAGTTACAGCTTTCTGAAAGAATACATATACTTACAAAACCTCTGTCATCATTCAAAATTCAACTTGGTTCAGAATTTAAGGCAGGGAGCTTCCTTTCTCTCAGTACAACATAGGAAGCAATGTAGGATACCAAAGAGTGAACACTACATAGAAAGATGGTATACAACCAGCATATCTCCTCCCTTACTCCATGTTGGATATCCGGGGATAGGGTCATGATGGCAGTGCCACCTGCCTACTGAACCAAATTTCTTTCATTTTCATTCATGTGACTATGACATCTAGGGCACAGCTTTGGTTGCCTGAAAAGGAGAAGTTATTAGGCAGACATCACCACTGCCCAGAAGAGAAAGTGATATTCATGGGCAGAGATGCCAGGATCTGTGGCCGCACCTGGGAACTTGGAAATTGAATGAGACACAAGCACATCACAACTGCCAAGCTAAGAAACCAGCAAACAAACAACTGATAAAAATAAATGTGATATAAAAGACATTTACTTTACTGATTCTTACTGGGTAGTGGAATATAGTGATTGGATGTTCAAGTTTGGTTCATAAAACAACACTGTAGATTAGGATAAGATATGGATTATAAAGTCACAAACCCATTCTGACTTTGTCTAAGTTACTCTGCATTGTGGGCCTCAGTTTCCTTCCCTGTAAATAATGAGGTGTAACTGGAAAATACTGAAGGCTTCTTTCATTTTTATTATCCCGTGATCTAAATGTTCTCACAGTCTACAAGTCCAACATACAGCTATTCTGCAGACTGTGAAAAAGTCATCTCATCCAAAAATATTTCCTACAAGGAAGAAATATTTAGGATTTTATCAAAGATGGTGACCTTTGAACATAAAAACGTATATATTACATGACAGGGAAAGTATAGCTTTTAATTCTTTCCTTTCTAGACAAAATCTAATCAACTGAACATAACATACTAAAAACTATACAACACAGAATTTAACCCCAGGAATGAAAATTAATCATAACACCAATAAAATAATAAGAAGAATGCATTATAGCAACAAAATATGTTTTTCAAAAATCCATTACCTTATTAGATGTTGACTTGGTATTTGTTAAAATTTGATTTTTTTAAAGTAAGATCTACACCCAACATGGGGCTTGAAGTTAGAACCCCAAGATCATGAGTTGCATGCTCTACCAACTAAGCCAGCCAGGTACCCCACAAATTTGGTTTTTTAATTAAGACTTTACAAAAGTGGGCACCTGGGTGGCTCAGTGGGTTAAAGTCTCTGCCTTCAGCTTGGGTCATGATCTCAGGGTCCTGGGATAGAGTCCCACATCGGGTTCTCTGCTCAGTGGGGAGCCTTCTTCCCCCTCTCTCCACCTGCCTCTCTGCCTATTTGGGATCTCTCTCTCTGTCAAATAAATAAATAAAATCTTAAAAAAATAAAAGACTTTTAAAAAGTAATGGAGTTTTTTCCACATGATAAAGTGACCACATAATTTTTGGGTTGTACTGAAAACAAAACTACACAAGGATGCTTTCTATTTTCATGTTAATCCAACAGTATTAAAAACACTTTCAGTGGAGGCACCTGGGTGACTCAATCGGTTAAATGTCAACTCTTGATTTCAGCTGAAGTCATGATCTCGGGCTCCTGAGACTGAGGCCCATATCAGCCTCTGTGCTCAGTGGGGAGTCTGCCTGAGGATTTCTCTCCCTCTCCTTCTGTACCCTTCCCCCATTCTCGCTCTCTTTCAGATAAATAAATCTTTAAAAAAAATTTTTCAGTGGTTTTGCTCCAAAACAGTTAAAAAACAGTTCCAAAAACAGTTAAATATAAAATTCCAGTAAGAAATGTATAGAGGTTGACAGATAGCAAAATAAATCTGGATTGGCAAGAGTTCCAAAAAATAAAGAAGGTATTGCTTGAGTTACCTTCAAAGTTTTACTTCTCAAAGTCAAGAAAATAAGACAAGTGGATTGGAAGAAAATATTTACAAAGATTCATCAGATAAACCAAAATGTACAAAGAACTCTTTTTTTTAATGTTTTTTGTTTGTTTGTTTTATTTCTTTTCAGCGTAACAGTATTCATTGTTTTTGCACCACAACCAGTGCTCCATGCAATACGTGCCCTCTCTAATACCCACCACCTGGTTCCCCCAACCTCCCACCCCACGCCGCTTTAAACCCCTCAGATTGTTTTTCAGAGTCCATAGTCTCTCATGGTTCACCTCCCCTTCCAATTTCCCTCAACTCCCTTCTCCTCTCTAACTCTCCTTGTCCTCCATGCTATTTGTTATGCTCCACAAATAAGTGAAACCATATGATAATTGACTCTCTCTGCTTGACCTTTTTCACTCAGCATCATTTCTTCCAGTCCCGTCCATGTTGCTACAAAAGTTGGGTATTCATCCTTTCTGATGGAGGCATAATACTCCATAGTGTATATGGACCACATCTTCCTTATCCGTTCGTCTGTTGAAAGGCATCTTGGTTCTTTCCCCAGTTCGGCGACCATGGCCATTGCTGCTATAAACATTGGGGTACAGATGGCCCTTCTTTTCACTACATCCGTATCTTTGGCATAAATACCCAGTAGTGCAATGGCAGGGTCATAGGGAAGCTCTATTTTTAATTTCTTGAGGACTCTCCACAGTGTTCTCCAAAGTGGCTGCACCAACTTGCATTCCCACCAACAGTGTAAGAGGGTTCCCCTTTCTCCACATCCTCTCCAACACATGTTGTTTCCTGTCTTGCTAATTTTGGCCATTCTAACTGGTGTAAGGTGGTATCTCAATGTGATTCTAATTTGAATCTCCCTGATGGCTAGTGATGATGAACACTTTTTCATGTGTCTGATAGCCATTTGTATGTCTTCATTGGAGAAGTGTCTGTTCATATCTTCTGCCCATTTTTTGATATGATTGTCTGTTTTGTGTGTGTTGAGTTTGAGGAGTTCTTTATAGATCCTGGATATCAACCTTTTGTCTGTACTGTCATTTGCAAATATCTTCTCCCATTCCATGGGCAAGAACTCTTTAAAAATCAACAATAAGAAAATGAACCACCAATGTAACAAATGGGCAAAATAACAGATTCCTCACTAAAGATGATATACAGATAGCAAATAAGTATATGAAAAGATGTTCAACATCAATGTCATTTGGGAACTGCAAATTAAAATAACAATGCCTAGAGGCACCTGGGTGGCTCATTTGGTTAAGTGTCTGACTCTTGATTTTGGCTCATGTCATGATCTCAGGGTCCTGGGATGGAATCCCACATCAATTCCATGCTCAGCAGGGAGTCTGCTTGAAGATTCTCCTCTCTCCCTCTGCCCTTCCCCCTGCTCACACACATACACACACACTTTCTCTCTCCCAAATAAATAAATAAATCTTTAAAAAAAATAAAATAACAATGCCTAAATATCATTGAGATGAAGGTAGAACATCCAGAGAAAGATTTTCAAGAGCCATATGAGGGATGCCTGGGTAGCTCAGTCGTTAAGTGTCTGCCTTTGGCTTGGGTCATGATCCCAGAGTCCTGGGATCCAACTTCACATCAGGCTCCCTGCTCAGCAGTAAGCCTGCTTTTCCCTCTCCCTCTCTACCTGTTTGTGTTCCCTCTCTACTGTCTTTCCCTCTCTCTGTCAAAAAGATAAATAAAATCTTTTTTTAAAAAAAAGAGCCAAATGAGGGAGAAATATTTAAGACAGCCCACACTAAGGCATTTTGGAAAAGTACAAGCTTTGTTCTCAAAGTTAGGCCATAATTCTAGAAATATCACTTTTTCTTAGTCATAAAGAATATGGACATCTCACTTCTGATCATGTAGGATTGGCTTGTACCTAATCAACATTTCTTTTGAGAACTAGAAGATAAATGCAAAAACATCTGTTTCAAAGTACTGGAATGTCTAACAAGGGTGTCAACAGTCAGAGACCAAGACCTCAGAGGGAAGAAAAGTACACTGAAATGAACTTGGTATTCTGTATTATTCTATGTTATCCTCAAAGTCTTTGTCTATTTGGCACAAAACTTGAAATTCAGGACTACCAAGGCAGCCAGAACTTGTTGGGTCAAGATCCCCAGAAGAAGCAAAATGCTTTTAAGGTGAGACTAACATT